CCTCAAAAGTATAAACGGTGGAGACCCAAGGACGACGGTACTGTCCTCAAACCTCGGTATAGAAATGGTGGAGACCCAGGGACGACGGTACTGTCCTCAAAACTCATATGTATAAATGGTAGAGAATCCAAGGACGATGGTATTGTCCTCAAAATCGTATGTATAAATTGACTTGGACCAGGAGGAGTCCTATACACTCATAGGATATGGGTGGGTTGGAATTTAAGTCAAGGATATTGACTACTATGATTTTCACAAATAAAAAATGACCTACGGGTCGGGTATTTCCAAGTGTATATATATATATATACTGATATGTATTTTATAACTTGGGGGAAAGTACTATACGTGTATGTATCACCCTATGTTTGGGTCTTATACTTGAAACGTTAGTTATGCTACATTTAGCTTGTTACTCGCTCGATACTTGTACTGACCCCTTCGGGGGCCCCCACCATTTCAGGTTGAAGATAGGGCTTGATACCTGCACCTTCTTACGAGTGAAGTCAATTCAAGGAAGACGTGGTTCATGCTTCCTTATTTCCTTTCAAACTACCAAACACTTGCTCATGGATATTTTATTCACTATAAACTATTTTGGGCCTGTGAGCCCATGTTTTGACCGGTTGTGGCCCATGATTTATCGTTGAATATTTCCGCTCTTCATTGGTTTAAATGTGATGTTGTTATGTATGTTTACTACTGAGTATGGATGGATTATGTTCATGGACGCCTTGTATGATTAAGTCGCGTTGACTTGCGAGTGACGTCACTTGGTCATACGGCGGTTGTACACGCGCTTAGATGCGGTCTGGGATGTGACAATTAAGTGGTATCAGAGACATCTCAGTTCTAAATTATGTAACCAACCTCTCACGAAGAATGGTGTTCTCAAAGTTTGATTTGAGGTCAGGCTATCATCAGTTGAAGATCAAGGAGAGTGACATACCTAAGAGTGCATTTCGCACTAGGTATGGTCACTATGAATTTCATGTGATGTCATTTGGTTTAACGAATGCACCGGCAGCATTCATGGACTTGATGAACCGTGTGTTTAGTGAGTACTTAGATCAGTTCGTGATTGTATTCATTGATGGCATCTTAATTTACTCAAAGAATGAAGATTAACATGAGCATCATTTGAGGCTTGTGCTTGAAAGGCTAAGAGAGAAGCAACTTTTCGCCAAGTTCTCTTTTGGGCATGTCATATCCGGATCGGACATTGCGGTGGACAATGCAAAGATAGAAGCTATTATGGATTGGGAACAACCCAAGAATGTTAAAGAGATACGTAGTTTCCTTGGCTTAGCGGGTTACTATCGTAAGTTTGTTGAGAAATTCTCCGTGTTGGCGTCACCACTTACGAAGCTCACGAAGAAGGGGGCTAAGTTTCCTTGGCTTAGATGTGTTCTAATGCAAAATGGTAAAGTGATTGCCTATGCTTCTAGGCAATTGAGGAAACACGAGGTGAACTACCCTACCCATGACCTAGAGTTGGGGCGGTAGTGTTTGCACTAAAGATTTGGAGGCATTATCTATACGGGGAGACATGTCACATCTACACCGATCATAAGAGCTTGAAGTATGTATTCACTCAGAAATAGTTGAATATGAGGCAAAGGAGATGGATGGAGTTGATCAACGACTATGACTTGATCATCGCTATCATCTCGGTAAGACCAATGTGGTGGCCGATGCACTGAGTAGGAAGAGTACGTCGGGGACGTTACTCACATGCCTACGAGCATTGAGAGCGCGCATGGAGGTGACCACGAGCGGGGCCCTCATAGCAAGATTCGAGGTTAGACCTACATTGCTTAATGAGATAAGCAGATGTCAGGTGATTGATGAAGAATGTCAGAATATCCAGGAACGGATCCTTGTGGGACCCGTTGAGAATTTCCGGGTACGAGAAGATGGTCTCTTATTGTTTAGAGATCGTGTGTGTATACCGAAGAATGAAGAGCTCCAAAAGTCCATACTACAGGAGGCTCATTCTTCGACCTATGATATGCATCCAGGAGGTACAAAGATGTACTGAGACCTGAAGGAAAGTTATTGGTGGTCACACATGAAGAGGGACATCGTGGAGTATGTGAGTCGATGTCTTACTTGTCAGCAAGTTAAAGCGGAGCATCAACACCCGGCGGGGCTTTTGCAGCCACTTAACATTCCAGAATGGAAGTGGGGAACATGTGACCATGCACTTTGTGGTAGGATTACCACGAAGGTGAACAATTACGATGCGATATGTGTGGTGTTTGATAGGCTTACTAAGAGTGCACATTTCTTACCTATCAACATTACTAATCCTCTTGAAAAATTGGCCAAGTTATACACTGAAGAGATTGTGAGATTGCATGGAGTCCCGATATCCATTGTGTCGGATAGAGATCCACGATTCACATCTAGATTTTGGCCAAAGTTCTAAGCATCTTTAGGAACTAAACTGAAGTTTAGCACAACATTTCACCCACAGACGGATGGACAATCCGAGCGGGTGATACATATTTTGGAAGATATGCTTAGGGCATGTGCTTTGGAGTTTTAAGGGAGTTGGGACAAACATTTGGCTCTAGTTGAGTTTGCCTATAACAACAGTTATCAGACAAGTATTGGCATGCCTCCATACGAGGCATTGTATGGGAGGGAAATGCAGGACACCATTGTGTTAGGATGAGGCAAGTATTTCCAAGCATGTGTGTTTAATTCACATGTCTTACTAACCTAACTGTGACTTTAACAACGAAGTAAACACGTCCATAGAGTTATACACAGAACTGGAAGTGTACTTGGCTTGGACTGGTTTCTGGTAATGATCCTCATCCAGTTCGGTAATTGAAATGTCCAAGTCCAGTCCTATCTAGTCACATAATCAGAATCGGGTTCACCTCTATACATTAATAAATTAATAAACTAATAGTTCTCTACAACAAGGTGGGTGAATCTTTGCGGGTACTGTTTTACATATACAAAGCTTCAAAGACATTCATGGAGATCAAAGGCTTAATGGAGAAGAATATGTATTATATGTTGCAGGCTTGTAACTGCAGATTGTAGTCCCTAGCACTTCACATAAAAAGAAGAAAAATTCGTTGCCTATGTATACAGGTTTAGTGTACATGTATTGTACATAACGTGTACACAAAACCCCCTAGTTGCTTGTGTACACCGACAATTCGTTTGAAAAGTGACATGATTTTATGCTTTAGAATTAGACAGTAATAACTTTGCTACTTCTGCAAACTTGAGCCAATGTTACCCATGCCAATTGCTGATCAATGTTTCATAATAACTTTTCAAATACTTCTTCGATCTAATATTTTTTTCTTCTTTTACTTTTTTATGTCCCAAACTCCTTATCATCTGTTTAAATAAATAGTAATTGTCCTATATAGGACTAAAAGAGTAAAGAAATTCTCAAATAGGACCATGTATGATTTCTTCCTTTAATTGGACCAATTTACTCCTATTCCTAAACATACAAAAATTTGCATCTCAATTTTACCCCTGCACCCAATATCCCTTTTATCTCTCCATTTACAAATCTAATCGATTGACTCTTTGGTTTCCTCCCTGCCGAAAAAATCGATCGACAACTCCCTCTGCAACTTCTCCTTGCGCATCGCAGCGACCGCTGCCACCAACCATGCCGCCTCGTGCCGCCTTCGTCACTACTGGATTCAGCACGCATCATCGCAGGTTGTCTCTTCTTCTTCTCCGTCTCCTTCTCCTTCTTCTCTTCTTCTTCTTCCCCGATCTACTCTTCTTTACTCTCCTATTCCTCCTTCTCCTATTCCTCTATTTTAATGAGTTTAGACATTGATTTTTCAGATCTTCCTCCTATTCTTATGTTTTTCTGGAATTTGACATTGATTTTTTCAATTTTTAGGAATTCCATTTTGTATTTTCTGATTTTTGATTTCTGATTTCTTAGTTTATTTTAAGTTCCGATTTTCCAAAAGTTTGGATGATGGATTCACATTTTGCCAAGTTTATGGCAAAAATATGTACACCGACAATCGTAATATGGTAGAAATGCCTTTGTTTTAACCAATCTTCCTCTGTTTTCTTGATTTTGAATTGAACTTTCCAAATTTCGAACCCTCACATATACGTCTTCAGCCTCCTGATGCCTTTGCTGCGGGAGAAATAGTTTGTCGTGGAAAGGGATGGGGGGACGAATCGAAGCGACAAAGTTCTGTTTTGATTTTCTGGTTTCTAGTTTCTGAGTTTTAAAACAAATTTTAATTTTCAACATTTTGGACGATTGCTTCGGATTTGGCCAAATTTGTGGCAGAAATGTGTACATTAACATCATAGTATGGCAAAAATGCTTTTCTATAAATCCATTTTTCTGATTTTATGTGAATAGTTTCGTGTTTCTAATTTCCGATTGTGCTAAAAAAATTATTTCATTAAAAAAATTAGTTGTTTGAATATTTGGTTATTTACTTCATGTATTTCATTTTTTGTCAAATTTATGGCAGTTTTGTGTTAATATTCCAACATGAATATTCCAAAATTTGCACATATTTTCCACACATCATAGGTAATTGTCTGTTACACGAGCTACTGTATACACAAGCAACTATGAATATACACATTGTCTGTGTATATAGAGAATTATGTACACACATATTTCCCGGTTTGACCTATACACATATTAAGAAAATAAACTTATCAAGGGGTAAATTTTACTGTGTTGACACTGTTTTGACACTGTTTAACACTGTTTCGACACTGTTTGACACTGTTTTGCACTGTTTGATCCTGTTTTGATGTAGGATAACTTTCCATTTAGAGAAATGAGAACTTCCCAACGGGACATACAAAAAAGGAAAGCGAGAACATTCCAACCAGACGAAGGGAGTATAAAGGTATGTTAAATGTATACAAATTTGTTTTCAAAAAAAATGTGCACAAATCATGTATACAACAAAGTTAATATACATGATATATCAAGAGGATGAGAATCTTCCACCTCAAATCCATCCCAGACAAACCTCTTCACTGGAAGGCGGAAAAGCTGAAAGCAAAGGAGAGAAGAGAAGGCATCACGGAAAATGATGATACACTACTGTGTGCAAGGACCCGCTTGGAAGAACTCAAATACTATGGCCTTCTCCCGCCGTTTCCGAACGGGTCCCTGGAAGTGCAGAGAAGCCAATCAGCTCAATTGCAATGGGGAAGGCTTAATGGGGAAGAAGGGATGGAGAAATGTCATGGTGTGTCAAGGATTCCTTTTTCCGGTGGATCCATGGGCGCCCACTATTGATTCTCAGAGCATAGCTTCTCAGCTCTTCGCTGTCTCCCTCTTCCCTTACCTCGGTTTCTTGTATTTCATCACCAAGTCCAATACTGCCCCTAAGCTCACCCTCTTTGGCTTCTACTTTTTGCTTGCTTTCGTAGGCGCCACCAGTAAATTCCTCTTTCCGTTCCATTATTGATTTTTTTTACTGGAAGTCTGTGCTTTATTGAAGATTTATAGCCATACATATGTGTGAAATTTTGTACTCTGTATTTTAAAAATGCTATTCTAATGTGCATCAATTTTCAAAAACAATACTACGTAACTGTATAATTCTTGATGATTGTAAGATTTTAGGATTAATAGTTTGTTAGAACGGTAGATTCTGTAAACAAAAGGGATGAAAATAGAATGGGAATCGGAAGGAATGTAAACTGTGGGGAATTTACTCCAGAAAAGGTTAAAATTCAATTACTACTACTTTATATTTCCAAAATTAAAGATTTAGGGACTATGAAATGCAAATACATGTAGAAAGTTTAAAAGTTTACAAGGTAGAAACAAACATTTCAAACCATTATTCCTAGGCATCTTTTCCTGCCACTTTGATGTCCAACATTGTCCTGTAGGAAATTCTATTGCATCTTATTTAACAAGCTTGTTTTTGTGTGCTTTAACTGAAAAGCTGGGATCTTTCCATTGTCCTTTGAGTGATTACAATTGGATGCATTTAGGAATTTCTAATAGTTTAAGGAAGTGTTACACTGTTTCTTTTGGACGAGTTTTTGTCATATTAAGTTCTCCAGTCTGCTATTAGCGATATACTGGATGAAATACTGATCCAGAGTATTTTTTGCGGTTCTTCCAATGTTTCAACTCTGCCACCATACAGTTCCAGCAGGCATTTATGGTAACATACTCCCACTTTTGGATATATTATATTATAAATAATTTCAATCTCTGTTACTATTTATTCTGACTCGAGTGGGATGATGAAACTGAAACAGCAAAGGTGGAATATGGGACGTCACTATCCAATGTGGACTGGTTGCACGGAGGGGCTGAGTCACTGCTTACCCTAACAAACATATTCATTGTGTTGGGTCTGAGGGATGCTCTTAGGAAAAATAGAGATGCAAAAGAAATTGAATCCATCGGTTTTATGAAGTCAAAAGAAGAAGAAAATCCAATTATCTAAGATAGCTATTATACATCATGACAAGGTAGAAAAACATTACATTAAAAAAGCCGCTCTGTGGTTTCCTTATCATTTCATTAGCTGCTCTTTATGTATATCGATTGTGTTGTATCTTATTGTGTATGGAGTGCGATATAATGACATTTATCTCTTCAAATTTTTATGCTAAAGCCTTGAGTACATAAGAAGGATATAGCTTTCATAGTTTTTGCAGTATTATAGTTTCGTATTCCTATTAGCTGTAAAGTTCTGGATCCCTGTTCCCACAGAGTTTAGGTTCATTATTTCTCTATAATTCTATATAATCTCTGTAATAGTCTCTAGCAATTGAGATGTTGTATGTTTGTAAGTCCATAATCCTTTGATTAAAAAGCATGACCCCCTTTTCAGTGGGGTGTCATATCAATGGAAGTAGTAATATATTTTTCAGTACAACTTATGGTATCTTATTTTCATGATCCATGGTTCGGGCTAAACCTTCTTTCTTTGTGGGCTTATGTTGTCATGCCTTGTGATCAAGACATTGCATATTAGGTGTAACACACATGACTCAGTCATGCGAGTTGGTAGAATGGATAGGAAAGAGAGAAATATAATTTAATTGTAATGTATTTCAAAGATAAATTGAAGTTCTTCAGGATCATTATTTGACCGGCCTTATTATATGATTTAATGAAGTTTCCCTAAATAGGTGTAAAAAACTATGTGAAATTTTAATATAGGAGTACTATGTTTCCCACGTAAATAGGAGTAATAATGCTTGAAAAATACTCTAATTCCAATGATGACATTAATACTAGCATATTAATGCCAATATATGGCAGTAGGATTTCAGGACATTAATTTACTCTTGTATATGGAAAACATACAACTTCTATTTTAGAATTTCACATTGTTTTTACTCCAATTATTTCTGGAAATTTTTCTATGATTTAAATCGCTCAAGTATTAAGAAAGACTTCATGAAGAAGATGAATTAGATAGATGTGTAGTTTAGTGTGGATGTTTAGTGAATAGTAACACTAGAATATATGCACTTATGGAGTTATTCATTATAAGATCACACGATATTAGAACTTGAGTCTTACCAAGATCAAATTTCTCATTTGACCTTAGTAGGTTTGGATACTATTAATACTTTGGCTCAATCATAAAAAATCCAACATGATAGGAGGAGTAATGTAATATATGCTAGTTTATACGGCTGGCGTAGAATGACTTAACATTAAAAATATTAGCAACTATAAAGGAAAAACTGATTACTTTATTTCGAGTATTTTTGTCCTCAAAACAGTCGATTTCTAATACAAAATTTAATTGTTAAAAAGAATTTTTTTTATTTCATACAAGCACTTTTGTAGTCAAAATTATATATGCCAAAAGTGCCAAACTGTTGATTACTCCCCTGCCTACCGCTGTCTTTCTTTCTTTCTTCCTAATCTAGGCTAGATAGGGCCTGGGGGTCATTGGAAAAACTTTGAGGCATCAAACAGGAAGTTCGGGTCACAATTTTCCAGGTCAAGTGTGTAATCCAAGCCCACATTGGGAGAGTTTGTGGATGATGTGGTGGCTGAGAATATGTCATTGAGGTCTGGTGACTCAATTCTTGACTCAGAGCAATGAAAATTTTGAACTGCACCAAAGATGTTTGACTCCGAAGTGGTAGGAGAAGCAAATGAGGGCGAGTAACTCCCTAACTCATACTGTGAAATCTGGAACTGTTGCTGGTTTTCATCTGTTAATCCACCAGGGAATGTTTGAGGGAAGGAGAAAGCAGATAGTGTCTCCTTCCCTTCAAAATCATTGGTATCGACCGATTCGACCCTCAGGTTTGATCTGAATTCCGTTAACATCTGACTTGTTGGTTGTATCAAGAGACCATCATTGTGGTGGTATGAGTGTTGTTCTAGTTCTTTTTTCTTAGGTTGTACTTGTCGACATGTATGTGCCCCTTTGTATGTGATCTCGAATAAGCTCGAATCGCCGTCAGATCTTTGCACTTGTTTTATGGCCCAACAGTTGTGCATTTGGCGGTACGTACACCTGTAATAGCTTCTGCAAAAAAAGATTCATCCTTTAAAGGGTTTTTCCTGTAATACTAATAAAACAAAACTCATGGAAAAAATATGACTCATGGTCACAGATTTTGAGTGAAGTCATTGTCCATAAAATACCACTATGGTGCTGCATGTTAAAAGCCATATTTTTTTTCATTGTTTTTATTTTAGTCATATACTTCCTCCACCTCACTAAGCTTTGACAACTTTCCTTAAAAGTAATTGCGGTTAATTTCTACTTTCATATTTCACCTGTTAGCCAAGCTCGGAAGAGTTTACTGGGACAAAGAGAATATTTAACATTTCAGTTTTCTTTTTATACCCAAAAGAATTTTTGTATCAGAATTTGACCCTTCTATCTGTACTAATACGTAATCTTCTTTTGCAGACTTGAATGTTTACTGATCAATTCACCTTGGATATTTAGCTCCAAGAATGTCCTTCTGGCCGTACTTTCTCCAACTATAACCATCTTCAGGAGGACCTTCAAGTCCATTATCAGTACCTACTCTAACCTGTTCTGTCCATGTTGGCAACAACTTTCTGTAAAAAACACTAATCAATGTCCACTTATGCAAGTAAAATCACGTGGAAATCATTAGAACAAGAATCTCAATAATCTTGATTGCATTCTGGCAAGGTACCTCTTTTTCGTCATACTTCTGAACTCTTGCATGCTCTTGTGGATGCCCTCATTTGGCAGGCTTCTGTCGACAGAGATGGAAGACTCAGGGGCAGTAGTGGAAAGTGGTGGATGGAGAAGACAGAGTAGTATCTGGAAAGAAGCTTCTATCTTATCCAAGAGAAAGCGATGAGTTTCAGAAGAAACAGAAGAATGGGAAGGCTGAGAGTGCAAATAGGATCTAAGCTGTTTGGCACACTCCATCCCTTGTGTTAGCTCAGTGATCAAAGCTTTTTTGTCTTCCCAACTATCCATTTTGTGTTTGGGTAACTGGATGAGCTGATTGGATAATTGTCTTTGGGTTGGATGGGTAGGAAAACTTTTGAAGACGTGTTCCTTTATATACCCTGTTGAGGGAGGTGAGGGCACTTTTAGAATTGAATGATTGATATGGCAGGAAAAGGAATTTGGAAGAGAAATGGGTAAAAAGGGAAATAAGAAGTCCAAATGAGAGAGCTTGAAGTTTGACTGGAGAAACCGAGTGGTTTTGGTCATATCAGCAACAGGGATGGAAAAGGAAGTACTGAAATGAAATGAGTGGTGGAAATATATAGGAGGATAGATTTTGTTTCCTGCTCTCATGGTGCTGACCAATTCAACCTACGAAGACAAGTCCAACAACCAATCCCACACCTATGTAGCAAAACAGAGTACTGTTTCTGGGAAGCTTGGGATGGCCTTGTCTACTCGTCTATATATCTATACTACAAGTTATGGAAAATGGAAAATGAATAGAGGAGGATCTGGATTATAGATTTAAAGAAAATTATTATTAGTAGGCTCTTCTACAATATCCAACTCTTTAGTTCAACCCTTGTATTCTAGATACACTCAATTAGTATTTGAATAGGTTAACATCAAACTTCAAGTAAATTTGCCACCTCATTGTTACCTCATCACTATCCCAGTATCGCATTAAAAGTCCGTCTGATAACACTGAAATTAACTGAATCAGTAGATTATACAGAAAAAATGTTCGATTTCCCCATTTTTCACATATATGGAGTATAAGAATATGACTGGTGTCAACATTGGCGTGTTTAGGGGGTTAGGTGGGGTCATATTAGGTCCCAAGTCACCATATATTAGAAACAAAACTCTTTCGGTGACAACTCCCGTACCCTTCTAAAAAATGGGGTGCCGTACCTACCATTCATTTGATTGGACTACACTACTTTATTATTTTTAATTTAGATTTAAGTAATTCAACTGCTACATTCTCATTGGTCCATGTGTACAAAGGTATGGTACCTTATGGGTACCATAGAATCTACCAATTCTTTATACAATCTACATAATTTTATATCTGGTTATTTACACAAGGCTGCAAACACCTTTTTTGTGGCACTGGCACATTTCTATAAAATATGACTACCGGCAACATTTATCTAACAAAACTCTTTATTTACACCACTTTTCTATATAAAAAATATAGACAATGTCTTTTCTAAAAAATATGACTACCGGCAACATTTATCTAACAAATGCCTATTAAAATAATTCAAAATATTCTATAATTATTGGGATAAAACTATTTATAATACGTAGTAAAAAAATGGTTTGTGGAAGGGGATGGTCAAAATCGGGGCAGGGGGTATATAAACTATAAAGTTGAAAAATGCATGAAAATAATGAGAAAGTAAGGTGACTGGAATTGAGGGAACAGGTTACCCTGGAAACCGTTATTAACTTGTCAAAAATGCTAATAGAGGGCTTTAATAAGTTTAAAAATGCTTCTTGTACCCAAGTTGTTCACAACTTGTATACAAAATATCAGTTACAGACAATTGGTACGGAATTGCTTGTGAGCACAAATAAGAGTTGCCTGTGTCCGTAGACATTAATTTTCGTGTAAAAAGTACACACACCCGCCTGACATTGACACTGGCGTGCAAATCAATCTATATGTGTGCAGTGTCTATGTATACATACAGTATCTACTTGCGCACATACAATTAATTGCCTGTGTCAATGTTCTAAAAGGCGCTAGTCGGGCGCCAGCCCAGCGCCTAGGAGGCTAGGTGGGTGCCTAGTCGGGGACTAGTCGACGACATAGAAATTGTATTTTTATCTATATTTTTCATAAATATGATAAGTAATATTGTGTTTTTGTGTGTATAAAATATGTATATACATATTGATGGTCCCGGATAGGGGTAAAAGTCTAGAGGGGTGAATAGACTTTTAAATCTTTTCAAACTTTAAAAACTTTTCCCTTTAGAAGTAGTTGATCTATAATCTTTAGAGAGATTTATAGATGCACAGCGGAAGTCTTTACCCTCTATGGAATCAGTGTGTGAATACTTTCTATCTTGGTGGAAGATTGAACCCAAATGTCTAGCAGCTGGCTTGGCAGTTGGCTTAGCAGTTGGCTAGATAGCAGGGAACTGCTAAGGCAACTGCTGAGGAAATATTGAGTGTTTGATGAAAGTGATGATGGAATGTTGCTGAGAATGATGAGGGCTTTCAGAAAACATGCTTTAGTAAAGGTAATCAGAAGTTTTACTGGAGCAATGGTCTCAGCAGTTGGGTGGTGATGAAGGAACTGCTGAGGTACCTGCTTAGTTTAGAAGGTGATTTTCAGAGAGCAGTTGTGTCAACCTCCTTGTTGGTAATGTTATGAAGGTCTGGTGATATTGAGATGTTCAAGGGAAATACGATTGTATGAGCAGTGGGCTCAGCAGTTGGGTGGTCACTAGGAAACTGCTGAGGCAACTGCTATACTTAGAGTATGAATTTCAGGAATCTTGATAGAGTGAGCCTTTTAGAGATGTTGGTGTACGTTATGTGTGTGAAAATGGTCTCAAAGAAAGCGAGTAATTAAGCAGTAAGATAAGCAGTTGGGTCAATTAAGACAACTGCTTAGGATGCTGCTGGCAAACTACAATATTTATACGAGAAGTGTAGGGTGTGTGCTTTGTTGACTGAAATTTAATCAACACAGAGTATATCCTGGTTCAGAGGTGGTGTAATCCTGCTACGTCCAGCCCCACCCTATTTCAGATGGATTTCACTAAAGTATTAAACCCAATACACTTAATGTCAATCTAGCCTTTACAATACTTAGGCCTAGATTGAAGGTTTTTCACAATGAGTATAACACCACTCAAAGTTACTCAGTCCTTAGACTTTTCTCAGATAAACCAGTTGGGATTAAAAGGTACTCTATCTATCTCATCACACTGTAGGATCCGAACAACTGTTCTCCTAAGTGTTTACAACAATATTTGATTTGATAACGAGAAAGTTCTAACCTCCAACTAGGATCTAAACTTTTAAGATTTAGCAATTAACTCTTGTAGCTAAGAAGTTTAGAGAAGCAAGAGTCTAAGCAGAGAGTAAAGTATAGCATAACACTTTCTCTTTTGCTAGATATCTCGTGAATGCTCGATGTAATATTTCTCTACTCAGAATGCTCAAGCTTGGTTAGAAACTTTCGTTTCAGCCTATATTTATAGGTTTCTCCTTTGGATTAATCTCACGCATTGGTCAGGATGAATTAATCTCTGGCGTTGAAAGTTGACAAGGACGACTTGTACATTCGTGTTCTTGTGCTGGAGCTGATTTCGGGTGATTCCTTTGTCTTGCATTATTTGGTCGCTTAAACTTCACTTTAGGAGTCAGTCCCATGTATGCGTACACTGCTCCGGACCCCAGTACGTATTTGGCATTAAATGTCGGTCAAATACATATTCAATGTATGTAATATTCAGGTATCTTAAAATGTGACATTTAATTAATCTTTGGACTGAATAATATATACCGGTAGGATCAAAATATCCTATTAAGGTAAATAAAAATTACTTTATTGCATTTTTTATTTTTCCGGTAGTATTTCATTAGTCTCAAAAATTGTACATCTATTTTTGTCACACTTTTGAGTGTTAATACAAGAATAAAACTGAGACACAATGTACACGTGTCAAGTATAGAGGCACCATCAAAATCTATCAAAATTGGGTACAAACAATTTCCCCCTTTTTGATGATGCCAAAACTATACAACACAAGATACAAATATTTTTATTGATTTTCATTGAATTTTTGTACATCATTCTAGCTTCTAAGGTACAATAGTTTTTAGTCATTTTCGGACTTTAGATCTAATCTACTTGTCTTCCTCTTTCTTCTTTGCCTCTTCTTTGGCTTTTGCTTCTTTTGCTTTTCTTCTTCTGATCTCGCTTTCCTCTTTGTAGAGCTGGTTCTTTCTTCTTGTTTCTGCTGCTTTCTTTGCTGGTATTGATCTCTTGGAGGAGGGGGCTGCTTGTGTTGATGTTTCCCCCTTTTTGGCATCAGCAGTGGTCAGGCTTTCTTGAAATAGAGCTTCTATCTTTGGGTCAGAGTCAACCTGCACTTGTCTTCTCCTTGTTGGACGCATGTCACCGATTTCGATTGCTACTGCATTGACCATATTGCGAAGATCCATGACATCTACTTGGACATCTTCTTTGACCACTATGTCCAAGTTCTGTAGACTTTGATTTGTTGCTTGTATGTGTTGGCCAAGTGCTTGAAGTTCACCTCCTTGTTTTAAGAATGCCTCTTGAGTGGCAGTGTGCATTCTGGTTAGGTGTTTGGCAACATCATCTCTGGTTTTTGCAATGGCTTCAGAATGTTCTACTTGTTTTGTGACCACCTTCTGGGAGAGTTGAAGAAAGGCTGGAAGCTCTTTGGTCTTTAGGTGTTGGATGAATGCCTCATGCTCCTGGATGAGTGGAATGGCCTACTCAAGGTTAGAGGATAAAGTAGGATTAAGGAGTACCTGGGCAGAGGGATCTGCTTCTGGTTGGGCAGAGGGCTCTGCTGCAGCTTGTGTTTGCTGGAGATTTAGAAATTTCTCTTGTAGTTGCATGCATACAACTTGAAGTTCCTCAAGGGCTTTCTGGATAGCCTCTGATCGAGCTGGCTGGTTCTTGAGTTGTATTTGAAGTTGAGCTTTTTGCTCAGAATTGAACACTTGTTGGATCTTCAAGTTGCTGCTGATGTGCCTGTGAATTTCTACGAAGCGCAAGTCCAGGAGTTGATCAAAATGGTTCTTCATCTTGATCAACCTTTTGTGCAGTCTGACCTCTGCATTTCTGATGAACTTTATAGTTGCCCTCCTTTCATGCATGAAGACTTCAGCTAGTGTTGGAGTATCCTTTTCTCCCTCATTGAAGATTCTCTCCTGAATTTCAGCTAAAGTTGTAGGCTGCTCCTCTGGGGCAGCTTCTTGCTGAGGCTCTAGGTTGAGGTCAAGCGCTTGAGGCCCCTGCTCTAAGGTAGCAGCCAACTGCTCATGTGGGGCTTTAGAGGACTCTCCTCCTCCTTGAGTTTCAATCTTTGATTTCTCAAAGACTCTTCTTAGTTCTTGATCACTAGAAGAGGAGGAGTGGACGATTTGTTTACCTCTAGAACTGGGAGGACCCTTTGGTGCATTATTATCATCATCATCATCATCATCATCATCACTTGAATCTTCAATTTCATCATTGGCAGTCAGCTCTTTTTTCTTCAATGCATATACTTGGTTGATTTTGAGGAGCTTGGTTGCTTCTGCCATATCACTTGTCCCAAGCCATTCTACCACAAAGTCCTCTTCCTCTATAAAGAGTGAGAGGGTTTCAGCTTGATGGAGGATTCATGATAGCTTCCAAGATCTCCATGCCTTGACCCTGACAAATTCTTCATTCAGCTGCTCTAATGGAGTTGGGTGAGGTGAGGCAGCTGCTGGAGATGGAGGAACCTGCTTGTCTAAGAGAGCCACCTGCTCCTCTTGTTGAGTCCCCTGCTCTTCTATGTGAGCCGCCTGCTCTTTGATTTGAGGGGCCTGCTCTGTTTCTAGAGGAGGCATCTGCTCTTGTTCTAGGGGAGCCACCTGCTCTCCTAGTTGAGGTCCCTACTCGCCATGTTGAGTAATTCTGGGAATAAGAATTGAGAGGGGAACC